TAACAGGGCTAAGATCCTGTGGGACCTCCAGATCCAGACAGACAGGCAGGTATTGCCCAGTCAACCAGACATTGTGGTAGTAGACAAAGACCAGAAGACAGCAGTGGTGATAGATCTGGCAGTGCCAAGTGACAGCAACATCAGGAAGAAGGAGCATGAGAAGCTGGAGAAGCACCAGGGCCTGAAGGAGGAACTAGAGAGTGCAGGGCTAGGAACAGCTAAGATACTGTGCAGAACCTTCAAACTCCCAGGCCTCTGGTAGAGGACCTGAGATTGAGGAAGCCACATGCCAACCATAGGGGTGAGAGGGGAATTATTATTATTATTATTTTTTAGAGAGAGAGAGAGAGAGAGAGACAGACAGACAGACACACACACACACACACACACACACACACTGGTGGAATCTAAGATAGGATTCTTCCCATTTGGAGAGAGAAATCAAGGAATTGGGCTAGAAGGACATCCTGGATCACTTAGCAAATGGGATGCTACATTCCTGCCCCAGTGCTAACCAGCCAATCAGAAGTAACAGCTTGCCTCATTAAAGGCAAGCAAGGGCAAGTGAGGGACAAATGAGAACCATGAGCAAAGTATGTTTTTAAAAAGGAAATAAATACTCATAAAAGAAGACTTTTCTTTGACGCATGGATATGTTCATTAAGAAATGCAGTTTCATTCTGATAGAAAGGAAAATGGGTTTTCCCCAGCCCTCATGTCAAGAGGGGAGGCTGAACGTAATGCCTGCCTGTCACCAGCCCTCCAGTTCTAGCTGGTTAAAACTGATTAAAAAAAAGTCCAACTGCTTGGATGTTTTCATCAAGAGTGAGTCTGATTAGTTACCAAAGCCTCCCACAAAGGTCATGCCTTTTCCTAAGAGGCCTGTGAGCCACAGCCATAAGTGGAAAATAAATGGTAATAACATGGAATGGGTCACGTCTTTTCACTTTCTGGGAATTGCTTTCCATTCCTCCAGCCCTTGGAATGTGCAACTAAAATTAGGAGCAGATGGCCTGAAGGTGTGTTAGGACCATTCAAGGCTTTTCTTGACTCCAGGGGAAATGATATGCCAGCCACTCACAAGCTTTTTAAAGCTAAGGTCGCTGCCCAAATGTTGCATAGTTTCCAGAGTTCTGTTTACAGTATTAAGATTATTGACCTGTGAAGGTTATCTAATCTAAATTCTTAAAAGCCCTTTCTTTAGCACCCCAGCATATCACTAGGGTTTCCTTTAGCTTGGAATATGGATGTTTCTTTTCAAGCTTGTGCATAGATTTATTGCCACATATATTGGCACAAACCTTTATATCTGGATCCTCACTTGTACAACTTCGCAGAATAGCTGTAAGTCATCTTGGGAAAAAGAAATATAAGTTAGGGTGGATTTGGAACATACAAGAACTTAGATAGATTCTGCTTTGGAGTATATTTTCCAAACCATTTCCAAAGTTACAGAGGATGCTTTGTAGAAGATACTCTGCATCAATGTGACCTTCTGATTAAAAGACTGGTTTCTTCTCATCAACATGGGATTTTAGCCTTCATTTGAAGGCAGACATTGGTGGAAAAAGAAACCAAGTGACAGGAACCCACCATTTCACCTTAAAGTAGCAAAGACAGCACTAGTCGCTGGGATTTTGACTGTGGACATAGGGTTTGGCGATCAGAGCAGCCCATGTCCTGTAGTCTCAAGGACTGGTAGATAGCATTTTAATGTGACCATCTGGCTGGGGCCACACTTTCTTGCTCCTCTCTCTCACTTTTTCAAAACAGTTCATAATATCGTCATGTTTGTTTGTTTTGGGCGGATGCTGAAGCCTTCAAAAGCTTTGCCAAGGGACAACAAACTTCTTAAGCAGCAAGATAAGCTAGGTGAGTGCCAATGTTGTGATGCCAAAGAAAGTTCCCCTATGCCTCTGCAGAAGGACGGCTGGCAGCAGACTCTGGCACAGCAGAAATGGAAGTCCGTATGTGCCATCATTTTCTATCTTCTAAAAGGGAGGGGGGGAGAGAGAGCCCCTCTGTTCCCAGCCTGTTCTTCCTTCTGCTCTTTTTCACAGCTCTGATTTGGACAGAAGGGAAGTCAGGGCTCAGCATTCCTCCTGCTGTTCAGCAGGAAATCAAATATCCTGCTCCGATTTTTCTTCCCTTGCCAATCCCTTTAGGCGAGGTGAAGCTGAGTAGTTGCCCTTAGATTCTTCTCTCTCAGAATCATAATTGCCACTTTTACCTTTTTTTTTTTCACCCCCCCACCAAAAAAAAATCTAAAATTTTTTTTTCTTTAA